GCAAAGATCATCCCATATCAGAATATGATAGTACAGTATATCAAAATAAGATTATTCTTGTTTTATAAAATGTAATTTGACTTTAAACATTAATATGATAGTATGAATTATGCCTTAGTTCAAAATTTAAGATGTTTTCTACAATTTCAAGATATATCAAGACATAGTTATAAAAGAAAAAGTATCCATAATTGAAAAAGTTATTTCATCTGATGAGGATTAATGCTTTGCTACAAAATTTTTAATGTTAACTAGCTTTATTCTAATGCAAAACTTCTTCCATTAAACAAGTGTATTGAAATGAAATTCTTCATAACTTTGAAATATTAATTCTGAAGAGTAATTATAGTAATTTCATTCATTTCTTCAAGAAATCATTGTTTGAATGTTAAAAAGAAATTTGAGCTTTATATATATATTGTTGATGAATTTTTGTTTAAACTGGAAACAGTCTAACATTTAAAGAATAACAAGAAAAAATATCAACTAAATGGCATTCTGTGACTTAGTATGCCCTAAAATTTCAAATTGAAAATGTTATAATGTTAAATGTTAAATGATGTCAATGGATTTCTGTAATAAAGAACTTCATTGTTAATTTATATATATAAATATATATATGTATGTGAAAATATGATTAAGAAGTTTATAAAAAAAAAAAAAACATATATATAAGTTATATAAAATGATTCATATTGATAATGTATAAAGAAATGAATAAAAAATGCTCAGTTACATTGAACAATTAAAATAGCTTATGACGTATGGAGAAAAATGAATCTCAGGATTTTTGAGAGGTATAACTTTAGCAGGGTTTTTGTGAGATATTGTAAAAAAATGACTGCATATTTTTTGATTACATTTCTTAATTTTGTATCTTGTATATGGTGTTTAACAATAACAAACTTTCATTCCAAAATGTTCTTCCCATCACATTGTAAAGTGAAATGATCTATATTTCCTAAAATCATGTAACAAAACGTTTTATACGTATATGCTAATTATAAATCATTTCCTAATTTTGTATTATATTTTCATCATATAGATAGTTAATAATTCAATACATTGAAAACTGAATTTATTTATAAAAATTTAATTTTAAAAATTCATTCAAATTAAATAAATATTAAACATAATTATTTCTTATATATTTGTTTTAAACATTAACTTTAAACTCTGCATAATCAAAGACAATTTGAGTCTTTAAAAGAAGACTCAACAATATTGGAATGATTATTCCAATTTGTAAGGCATTTTATATATTGCTGTAAACTGTTTTAAGCAAACTGCTAATTACAGTATATTAGAATGTATGATTGCATTAAAGTGGTGGTGTTATGCAATCAATTATGAACAAAACTGTTTTTATAGCAATTATTCTTACAACAGGGCATTGATATTTAATTATTTCAATAGTTGTGAATAGATGTGTTTCAATAATAGATGGAATTGCAATGATTTGTAATACTTTGTACTGAATAGATATTATCTGTATAGTTGTGCTTCATAAAAGGAATATTTCTTTTTATAAGCAATTAGTTATGACGAAAATCGTTTTTATTGATAATTCACAAGAATAAGTGGTGCTTAATATTGTTTTTATAGCATTTTGTCACCATTCCAGTTCTGCATCTATTTGTTACACTGTTCATAGTCAAAAGGAATGTAGCATTTATTGTTAAAATGTTTTTTATTACAATTCATAATGAAAACTTTTCATTTGATCATCAGGGACCATATTGTTGCCTCCTTGTATGTGTTATATTTGCACAATTTAGTGAAAATAAATGAATTGTGTATTAGATTTAATTGTTCCTAAATAATTTTTTTCACAAAAAATTAAAACACAGCTGACAAAATTATGTAAAATTTTAAAAAACTGATTTAAGAGATATGAAACAAATTAAATTTATTTTATAAGCTTTGTAAAACATGTTTAAAAGCTTAAATATGCTCAAACACCTTAAATTCTCCATTTTTTATTCTATTTGAAGAATAAGAAGAGTTTATAAAATAATCACTTAATTAAGAAATATATGCTTCTGTAAAAAATAAGCTTCATAAATTTCAATAAATACTTTATGGGTGTCATTTAAAAAAAAAAATTACAACAACAAGTTTAATAATTGCAAAAAAAGTTATTTATTTGGATTAGGTATAATTTTAATTTAAAGTCTTCCATTAAATGATAAAGCTGAATTTATTGGCAATAACTTGATTATCAAAACAGTCATAGTCCAATGAATCTGGCTTTATCATTTAATTGATTTATAATTTCAGGCTTAGTTTACTATGTAATTAATTTGTAATGCCTGTCATACTTTATAAAGCCACATTCAATTGTCTTAATTGAAGAATTCAGATTCATAAGAAGCTAAATTTCTTGTTTTTTTTATAAACTATAACAATAATAACTTCTATTTCTTTATGAAAATTAGAAATTTGTATTGTTAATTAAACAAATTTTAATATGGCTGTAGTGAATAGAAAATGGCTAACATTAGAAAATAATAATGATATAATATATAATACAGCTTGTTATTTTTAATTCAGAAACTTTTTGCAAAACAGATTTTGAAAAGAATTTTAAGTGAGGCTAAAAATTTGGATTTCATGCTACATTTTTTATTGCTTCATTATTATTTTATTGAAGATGAGAAGATATTTTACAAAAAATGTTTTTAGAATTAAAAATAAGCTATTATATAATTATTTATTTATCATATAAAAAAGTTTCTTAATTCTCTAATGAAAATTTCTGTTAGTATTAAATAATCATAATCATTCCACTTTTGTTAATTCCATAAAACACAATATAAATAAAGTATCAATAATCTAAAAATCACTAATAAAATTATTTTTATAAAAAAAATTGAACCTATACTGTACTAGATTTTTCTATCCTATAAATAGAAACTTTTATTTGAATAAATGTTTGCCAGATGGTTTAATTTTACAGAATACTTTTGTATTATCAATAATTCTTCTTTCATAGATTTCTTGTAAATAATGCCAATGTTAAATACTTATCTGAAATGCATTAAGTCCATATGATTTGAATGCATCTGTGAAATTCACTTATACAGACACAATTTATTAATATGTAATGAAATACATCATTATTCTTCTGAATTTTTTTCCAAAATATTTTTAAACATTGTTTTTGAATTTAAAATTTATGCAAAAAACCTGTAATCCAAGCTAGAATCACACCTAATATTTGAAGTAGGATTCTTATCATTATCATTAAAAATTTTTGAAATAACTCTGAGGACAGCTGCCTAAGTTACTTTTATAAAATTTGTCTGGCAAGGAAGGTGACGGCAATGACGATTTTGGAAGTTATTTTCCAAAAAAGATGATCATAATGGACTTGCTGCTCAAGATTTTGCAAATTAAGCAAATAATAGAAATTGTTATAATTATGCCGCATAGTAATGCTTAAGAGGAGAGGGTCTTAAACAGTATACAAAAAAAAAAAAAAACTGATGTCAGAAATTGTTTGCAGAACGATGGGACGTTGTCCTCTCTGATTACTTGTAAGTTGAGGTTATAAATTAATACCAGACTGATTCTAATCTCTTGAAAAAAAGCTTATACTGCCGTTGAACGTTACAATTGACTACAATTATAAAAAAGTAATCTGTTTAAATCCAAAATAAATCGACTGCAGGATGGCCGAGCGGTTAAGGTGGCAACCTATCGCTCGGGGGAATTTGGGAACGAATCCGGGTGGATTAATACCTCTTAGAAGGATTTTAACTTCAATATTGCGGTTGGTAACGTGACAAAGGTCAAAATGTGGTTTTTCATTGCAAATATTTTCACAAACAAACTATAATTACAAGCAATTATTTATAGTGACATGGTCACAATGCCGGGCTGCAATTTGTAATCGTATTTTTAAATCATTTAATTTAAAATACAGTATATGTTCTCCACTTCATATTAGTAGTGTCTTGCCCCTGTACATCATACGTTTCCGTTAGCAATTATTAATTAACTGCTTTTGAGCAAGGGGATTTTGAATTTAAATAACTTGACTTCAGGTTTGCATCAAAAGTTCATATATAGTTGATTGGGGCCTCCTGTCCCTAAAAACTTTCCATATCTGGTCTCGCATTTCATCTAACTCCGTTCTCGAGATTAAACGCGCTAATTAGTAACGAATCGTTCTAAAAGTAGTAGTCTCGCTCAGTGCGCATGCTCTGCGGTGATTACGTTTCAATCGAAACTCTAACGAAGTTGACGAAGGAGAGAGTTAGTTCGCTTCGTTAAGAAAATGGCGGCCGACGATATCGATGTTTCTAAATCTACTCTAGTGTTTAACTCGTTCGACTTTACGAACGTACAGTATTTTGTATACGAACTTCCGATTTGCATCGGAAGTCATGTTATTTCAATTCAAAAATTTTTCCCTGAAAAGTTTTAGGCACAACTCTATAGTTAAAGGAAAAGTATGTTGTTCAGGGGCAAGCCACTACTAATTTGAGGTGGAGAGCATATTTTAAATTAAATATGTAATTAACAATTGGGACCATGTCACAATAAAATAATTACTCTTTATAAATTCGAAATTTATTTTGAAGTACAATACTGTAAGTGGACTGTTTTTTTTCTGTCGCGCATGTGCAGAACTACCTCCGGCAAAATTGCAGCACGAATTCTTCAACCATGATCACGTGACCACCGACCTGTGCCCACAGAGAGAGAAGTAAAAAATATGAATAATTGTCATCATTATTTTAATAATAATAATAGACAAAAATATCTCTGCGGATCATTTCAACGAATATTATGCGTTCTCGACACACAAAACTACACAAATTTTTCATATATTAATAAAAATGTTAAAATATATTTTAATGTAATTTAATGCAAAACTTAACAAAATAATATATTATATATTTTTTAAATAAGTGTTTCATTATTATTATAAAAAAGTTTGAAGTAAAACGCCTGACATTTTGGATCTCGAAAAATTTTTTTAATGCAAATTTTCTGCGTATCTGGCAACGCTGAGGTGTCGTTAAGATGGCGAAGGAACCGGATGATGTTTCTTTAGATGACGACGAATTAATAGACAAAGATTTGGATGGAAATGGACAAAAACCAGACAAAATGTTTTCTTTAAAAAAGTGGAATGCTGTGGCAATGTGGAGCTGGGACGTAGAATGCGATACTTGTGCTATATGTAGAGTTCAAGTTATGGGTAATATATATTTATATTTTCAAGACGACTAATATAATCTATATTTTCGAACTCTACATTCACCCTCTACATCAATAATACAATATATATATAACAGCATTATGTGAGACGTACGGGTAAAACTAATAGCGATTCCAAGAATTACTGTTTTTCTTTCAACGAGATGGCGCTGTGTGTTCTCCATTATTTTGGTGCCATGTCAAAGTATTCCGAGATTACTGCGACTGTTTAGAATTTGAGTTATTGCGAATATCTCTGCCTACTTGCACTAAAATATTATTCGTTGAAAATCAAACAGAAACACGAAATCATTTTTGTCACCAGACATGCAGATAAACAGGGCCGTCAAATGGGAATCTGGGAATTTTCTGGCCCAATTCTAGCCCCGCATGATACGTTTGGGACCGTAACAGAGCTGTAGAGCATACTCATAGGAACAAAAACGTCGAAGGATTTTACCTCCGGGCTTCATATAAGCTCTTGATGGCCCACAGCCCAAAAGAGAACGTTTTTGGGGCCGTTTTTAAAATGTGAGATTAAGAGGAGAGGAGAATAAAAGTAACAGTAATTTTTAACTTCATTTATTCTATATAATCATAAAATATAATTGGCAATTTATACTATTGTTTTTAAGTTTCTTTCGCTTGTCAACCCATTTCCAAAATTAGATTTAATTTGGATTTGTGTGTAATTTACTCAATTTTTTTAGCTTTGATCATAGCTTAGAAACTTATATGTAATCTTCAAAAAATTTTACTGATTCTCCTAGTTATCAGTGTTTTTCCCAGTATTTTTTTTTGCAAGTGGTCAATAAAAACTGTCTGCAAACTCCTTCCATATACAGTGGTACCTCAGGATACGAAATTAATCCGTTCCTAAACTGAGATCGTATTATGAAAATGTTGTAAGGTGAATCATTTTTCCCCATACGATTACATGTAAAACCAAATAATTCATTCCAACACGAAAAACACACTCAAATTAAAGCTAAGTAGTACATTAAAAAAATAATAATAACTATAGTAAGGAAAACACTGAAAAATGCATTGAGTTGTAAATGTATAAATAACCATAATAGAATAATAATTGATTAAAAAAATGTAGTTTTATTTGCACTTTACCTTTGAGGATAGACAACGTGGAGGTGTAAACTGGTGGCGGAAGAGAGGGAGAAGGGAAATGATACTAAAACTTAACTTACATAACATAATGTAACAATAACTTAAAAAAGAGTTTTTAAAAATTGTATATTTATAGTTTTTTAAAATTTTTATTTACTGCTTTTTGCTTTCTTTTCTTCACTTCCACCAGCATTTTCACTGGATAGAAGTCGCTTGGTAAAATATCTATCCAAAGAGATTTGGCTTTGCCTACTTTTTAAAATGTTTCTAAAATGACTTAGGCAAATGTCATTACTCTGAGCAGCAATATGTGAGGACCCGAACAGGGGTCAACTGAGAGGTCCGAATTATGGGTTCGATCGAAAATAAAGAGCTCCTTTTCAGACGATAAGGAAACGGATTAGGTGTCTCGATTGAACAATGCAATTGGTTTTTTTCGGAAAATTAGTTAAACAATGGAAACGGAGAAATTCGAGGAAAACGCGACGAGAGAGAGGATCATATTCAGTCGCTATGTTAACCTCTCCCGCGCCCTCCATTAGGTTTCGAATTGTCACCAGGTGACAATGAGAGACCAATGGAGAGGCGACTGCTGTAAAAAAATCTATAAATTTGTGCGACTCAAGAGACGAAGGTTCTTGGTTCGTAGTTTTTGGTTCTTGGTGTTTGGATACGTAGTGTGTCGTCTCATGGACGGTCGTGCTCCAGATCTTAGAAAAAAAAGGACATTTTGGAACATCGTGGAAGCATCGTTCTCTGGGTGCTCCTAGCAATCGACAGATTCGTCGGATCGTCCGCGAGAAGCCGCCGAAAGCCGTAATCAACGCCCCGGGGCCCACCGAGTGTTTCACCGACAGCGTCCATCCTCTAGCGACGAAAACCGACTTTTACGAACTTTATTTCGAACTTTATCCGTGCGCTTTGGGGTGCTACCTCGTCTAACAAGTAATCTGTAAGGAAAATTTCTACGTTTAATAAACGGTTATATGGTAAACCTGTCTCAGGAAGTCAGTCAGCGCCCACACGACAGAACGAACCGCTCGGCTGTCGAACACCTCACCCCTAATCGACTAACCTCACAAATACAGCTATTGTGAACCTTTTCTGGATGTTTCTTTTTAATAAAATCAGTCACTTTCTGATAATATCTCAAAATTTCCTTTATCAAGCAAGATCCAGGACGAAGCAAACACGCGGACTGAGACCAATGAACAGAAGTGAATAAAAAATGGCGCTGCGAACTAATGTAATGTCGTATGATGAGATTTTGTTCGTATCGTGGAGCAAAAATATGTTCGAATTTCATGTCGTATCCTGAAAATGTCGTATGCTGGGGTGTTCATATCCTGATGTACCACTGTAAATAACTTTATCTTGAATAAGGTGTTGACAACAACTTTGATGTTTTGACGATCCTGTTATTTTGGCATTGTTATAGATATTTTGGCCACTTGTTTAAAAAAATAATTTGATTTTTTTTAATGTCTTATTTAGGGATTTTTATCATATTTCAATAAAATAAAAAACTTCTCATGCATCTATGTGAATGTTTTGTTTTAAATTTTATATAATGTTATAATCTTTTTATGTTAAAGCATTTTTGTCTACTTCAGTTAAACAATACTCAAAAAGAATAATCAATACAACTTTGAAAAAACACTTTAGAAATTAAAAAAGAAATTTACCTTGCATTCAAAAAGAAAAATGATAAGCCACAACATCAGAACTTCACATATTTATTAATATATATATTTTTTATGTATTTACTTACTGTAGATTACTGAAAATACTTCTGATATTCACAGAGACATGTTAAAATAATTTTAGAAATATTCACACAGAGGTGTTAATTGATCTGTTGGAAAGAATGCCATTTGTTTAAACTTTGTGTTCTGGCAAAAATATCTTAAAAATTGGGATCAAACTATATTCCAGAAAAAATCACATCAAACATCCAGAAAAATCATTCAGGGGGACTCTGGAAAAAAGGCCCTGGGTTATTCCTAGGCCTTTTTATCTTGGTTTCCCCTATCACTCATTTTCTTGATTAATCTGACCAGAGACATCAAATGTATATAATACTGAAACTTTAAAGGTATGGAAATAACAAGAAATAAAACTTTTTTTTTTTGGAAATAGAATATGAAAAACTAAAAATAATTTTTAGTTTTTCATATTCATTTCCAAACTTTGATGTGTTTTTGACAGTTTGGAATCTATTGCAGTAACAATACTTGCATTTTAATATAGTTTTTGCCAGCATCATATTAATTCACTACTGTGGTTTAATCATAGCAATAAATCAATTTAATGAGAGTAATAGTACTTTGCAATACATGGAGAAATTGCTACTAATATTTGCACATCATAAGTACGAAAGAGTATTATATATGTTATAATTGATTTCAACTCATATTTATTACTACTATTGTTGTTTGTACTAAAATTTTTTGTTTTTTTAATTATGTACTCTTTCTGAAAAAGAAACATCTAGTATCTGTGAAGATTTTAAAGCATTATATCAATATTCTAATTTATGAAATGCATTCCAATTTAAAGTATTTAAATATACAATAACTATTTGCATAAGTATATGTAAATAGTTATTAATGAAAACATGAAAACTTAAATTTTGTAAAATATTATTTTATAGTATTATAACAAACAACAGTATACATTTAATTTTATTTTATCTCATTGTTTCAGATGCATGTTTAAGATGTCAAGCAGAAAACAAACAGGATGATTGTGTTGGTAAGTTAAATTATAAATAGAATATGTATTTAAATTATTAATGCAGGGTATTATAATCAAGAAAATTACATTAAATTAAATGTGAACATATAAAAATTAGTTATAATATTGATTTAACTTTTTCACTTTCTTTGTTCTGTTTCTTGTTAATGTACAGTACATGGCAAAAACACTGAAATGAATGGCCCTCCATAACAATGAAGTCATTCAAATGCCTTATCTGAAGCATGTCTGATAAGCTAATGATATATCAAGAACACTTTCTCACTGTTAGCGATCCTAGCAGATGATTGATTCACAGAAATTATTTTTCTGTATAAATGTAACACATTACATTTTGTTGCTATCATGCCTCATTTGCATGATACTAGTGTGATAGGGTGGCACTTTGCTGATTGATGTATATAAGTTTCATCTACTGAGATTTCATGGTGTTGATTTTACACACGATGCGTTTGTTTTAATTTTAGACATCAGTGTAAAAAATAAATACTCAAATCTAACTGTTTTTGGAGTAAATAATCCAGTGTTTGTAAGCAGTATGCAATGATGCTTTATCTTATTGGAAATTCCAGGATACAAACTTTCTTCCAGATATGCAAAAATTGGTTCCAAACAATGTTGAATGTAGTATTCTGCATTACTCTTTACAACTTACAACTTTAAAAGGAACTCCAATTAATAGCAGAGTTCTCCTTCACTTAACAAAGCCATCAAGAAAATTCTCTGCGTGTTCTTTGCCCAATCAAATGACATGTTTTCATCTCATTTAATATAAAAACTTTTTTTTTTCAATTACAATTTGTGTAATTAATGAAGCACGGTTCTACTAGAAACATGCTTCATTCAGTGCTATTGCAAATTCTGAGTTTTGGTCACTAAAAGTTTTTTGTTTACCTTGTGGCAAGTTTTCTTGCAATTTTTAATGTGTTTCGGACCTAATTGGTGAACAGATTGTTTTATCCTGTTGTTTGTGTCCAAATCTTTGTGGATTATGTTGTTAATGGTCCTAATGCTATTTCAGTTTGTATAGCCATTTTACTTTGAATAGGAAGGTCTTTATTAGCAAGAATCTTAATTTTTTTTTTTTAAGGCATTTGTAATAAAATGTGATCATTTTCATTTATATGTGAATAATTCACCACATCCAAAAAACCTTTGTAACTCCAGTGATGTGTGTTTACACACCAGCGAACATTTTCGACCCCATCCGGGTCTTCATTAGACTATAGTTATGCGGAATTCGAACTCGTGCGGAATGGAACAATAAAACTAAACAAATGCGATTCAAACTTCAGAAAAAACCAAATTTAAGAATAAAATGGAACATTACCCACGTGCTGAAACAGTGATTAAGCACGCGCAACATCATTATGAAGAGGTTCATTTCTTATATGTGAATACTTCACTGACTTCTAGCACCACATTGTTACCTTGACATGTTTATTATTTTACTTATGTCTCCTATATTTATGGTAAATCCATGTCCTCTTAGTTTTTCTGTATAATTCTGTAGCTGTTCCCTTCTACAGAAAACAATTTCACAATAGCTCTGACATCATTACTGATTGAATTTGGTAGCCATATTTGTTTCCAACAGTGCCATGCAAAATATGCAAAAAATACAGTATGATGTTTCACTCTAACCAATAAAAATGCAATAAAAATTTATTTTCCAATTTTATTAACACCTGAAAAATGTTCAGATTTACTGAACATCCTTGTATATATATTATTTTGAATATCATGATTCAAGTTAGATTTGTTTAATATTAGCTTAAATATATATATATATATATATGCCAAAAAATTTTTTCACCTCTGATAAGTTTTTAAACTATTTTAACTAGTTATAATTCTCAACTTTTTAAATAATTTATATAATATAGGAATCAAAAATATTTGCATATATACTAGAGACAGTAATTAAATAGAAACAATAAACATTGAAAATATTTAAGTTTAGTTAACTATTAATAATTTTGTTGAGCCATATTTCTGAATAAAATAGGAATATGAGGTAGGATCCAAAAATTAAGGGTCTTTGTGTATAGTTCTTTGTCTTAAATAGTTTAAAACTCCAACACACAATAACCTTCAAAATAATCCCCTTGGACAACAAACACTTTTGCCAGTACTTGTACAGTTTCTGAAACCATTGCAGTAAGCCATCTTTTGCAACTGCCTGTAATGCCTTTTGTGATACTGTTTTTGCTTCATTTGATGACTCAGAACAACATTCCTGCAGATATTGTTTCATCAGTAGAAAGAGGTAAAACTTTTAATGGGCAAAGTCAAGTGAGTAGGCAGGATGTGGAAGCACTTTAGTACCATTTTTTGGCAAGAAACTCTGATCATTAAGGACCAATGTGCAGGCATGTTGTCATGAAGAAGGTGCAGAGGGTAATAGGTTAACGAACATAATCTGTTTCAAGACTGTATTTGTTAACCGATTATCAATTTACCTTAGATTTTTATGAGAATTTAATTAATCTGTTCTGGAGACCCCCAAAAATAAAAAATTATATACTTTCTTACTATGTTTATTTATATGTAATAATAAAAATACATATACACAGTCTTGCATTTTTATCAGTAACATTTTTTTCTGTTTGTGGGGCATTAAAGAATCTGTCCAATGTTGATTGCTTTTCTCTTTTCTTCACGATTATTCAGAAGTAATTAATAGCATTGTAATTGTAGAGATCCCCAAGCCTATTAACCTCAACCTGGTTTGGATGCCATTCTAAGACCATTGTTTTCACATCCTCCCACTTTTTAATAGCAGATGTCAGCATTAATCCTCTTTTTCAGAAGAAAACATATCTCGCCGAGTTTCTTGGTGTTCTGTTGTCAGATCTGTTTCAGGTTCTATTATGAGCTCTTCAATGTTTTTTATTTCTCAGATGTGATTTTTGTTACTTTAGCTGCTTGAGCCTTGATTATACAGTGTTTTTCTTAGATAAGATTGAACTGTGGCCTACTGTAGACTTGTTCAAGCCATACTGCTCAGCAACATCAGGCATCTTCTGCCTACTCTCTACCTTTGCCTCACCTTTCAAAAATAAAAATCAACACAAAACTTAATGAGTGCTTGCCTGACAGTCTCGCGAATACTATAAAAAAAATTGTTTCTGTCAGAAAAATAACAAATGCTGGAATTACAAGGGACAGTTTCAAAGTTTGGAGGAATACTATTTGATCAGTATATACCAGATTGAGTGTCGATGTTGGCGTCTCTTGTGCTCCGAAAAGTTTCGAATTGTTGCCTAAAGACAAGGGATGACCAATCAGTATTTGTTATTTTATGTTGCTTCTTGTTGTGTTTGTTGTCCAAACATAAAAATCTTTTACGAAAGTGTTTATTATCCAATTTGTTCGTAGTTCGAAGTGTTCATTAACCGATCACCCACTGTACCATTGTCTGCACCTGAGTCTATCTAATGTAAATGACGTGATATGTGGTGAAGTGAACAGTGGTAGCTTCTCCGTGACAACATACTTGCATATCCTACCTTAATAAGTTCTACCTTAATGGTAGAACTTATTAACTCCATTTGTATTAGAATGTCTAATATGTTAATTTCAAATTGAGTTAATAACTTTTTGCTGATGGTGTTGTTCCATATTTAAAATATAGTTTCTTTCTTTGAAGAAGGCTGTTAAAAATGACTGACAACATTAAAGTACAGTAAGACCCCACTTAACACTGTCTCGCTTAACGCTGATTTGATATAATGCAGTCTGCTCGATGCCTAAAAAAAAAAAGCTCAAAATTTACGCTGATTTAAATTATCGCAGCATTTTGTTGATTTGTATATAATATGATTATTTGCACAAACCAATCAGCAAAAGGTGGCAAAAAAGTGTATTTTCTTTAAATCTATGTTTCTTTGGTGCAATTTTGGAAAAAATATAACATCATGAATGCCATAGGAAATAGACTTCGCTTGGCAAGAATTAACTGATAAATGCATGAAAGAAGTGTGGAAGAAGTTATGGCTGAAGGTATTCAAAAATTCTTAATGAGAAGAGCATATTGCTGTATCATTAGGTTGACCAAACTCAACGTAATTGATACAGCAGGACTAGGAGATATAGATGAGTAGGATATTGAGGAGTTACAGCAGGTTTCTGGTGTGAGCCTTACCAATGACAACTGTCGAGAACTGGCAGAACATGGAATTCATGTGGAACTGGAAAATAGATTCTGAAAACAAAGAACCCAAAAAATTTCTCTACAGATTTCCTTAGTAAAAGTTTGGTAAGATAACCAAAATCGTTGATCAAATTGTAGCAAATGATCCAGGTTTTTAAAGGAGTGCAAAAGCAAAACAAGGTGTTTTGGATGCGATCTCTTGCTATCAACATTTGCTTAAGGACAAATGAAAACAAACATTTGCAAAAAACAACAAATGAAACTACACAACTTTATCACAAAAAACAAGAATTTCAGAAAAGCCAGGACCTTCATCAGAAAAATGAACTTTACATTTCTGTCTGCATATGTTTGTGTGTTATTTAACATATATTATTATGCAAATTAATATAAAAATAACTTAAAATTAAAGTAAAATCTGTTTATTTTTGGTCACATGTTTCCCTTTCCCTATTTACTCTGTGTTAAAATGAATCTTGTTAATGCTATTTCATTTAACACTTTGTTGTCTAGGAACGCATCCCCTGCATTATGCATTATATCTTAATTATATGTACTGTATAATTAAAAGTATATTGCATTTAAAGATATCAGTGTGAAATGATTAAATTATATATTTTTATTGTATTCAGGGCTGTGGGGTCGTTTAAAAATGTACTGACTTTGACTTTGCCTTACCATCCGACTCAGACTAAAACACTAAAACTCCACAGTCCTGACTATAACTGTGTTATTTATATTTTTAATAATTAAATGATTTGTTACATGTTTTATAAAATTTTAATTTCTTTTCAGTTGTATGGGGTGAATGTAATCACTCATTTCATAATTGTTGTATGTCTCTCTGGGTTAGACAAAATAATAGATGCCCTCTTTGTCAGCAGGATTGGGTAGTCCAGAGAATTGGCAAGTGAAGTTTCAAGTTATTGAAAATTTAACAAAATGTAATGAACTTTTCTTATTTTTCATATATTTATTAACTTTGTGCAGTAACATATTGATATTTATGATTTCTAGAACATTACCATAATTAAAAATTATTGTAAATATTTATTTTATTCATTGTGTCATTACTTCCTTTTGCAGTTAATTTTTAATTGAAATAAAATAATACCTTTTTGAAATGATAAAAAGAGCAAAATGATTATTTTTACTTTTCTGTGATTTAATATTACATAGTGTTTCTTTGAATTTCATTAATTAAAGACTGATTTGTTTTACTTCTTTACAAATTTATATCTCTGAAGAAGTAAAAATTTATGTAATAAACATTCATTCAAATAATACAAATTATACAGCAATTTTATTTTATTTTTAAATGCAGGGTTTCTACACACCTGGAAAGTTGGGTATTTTCATTAGTATTTGGAAAAAGTCATGGAAAGTCAGGGAATTTGTTAAAAATTGTCAAAAAGTCAGTGAATTTGTTTCCTTGGTTGCCTTGTTGATTTTGTTTGCTGACAATATGGCTGACCAAGTGTAGCTGTCTGCAGGCAGTAGGAAGTACTGTGGTAGAATGCAACTTATGAAAAGAGGTTGCAGAATATTTTCAGGAACAAAATTTTCCCAAAATTATAGCACACAAAATATACAAGCATATACGTAACAATATCAATTGTTATTTTTAAATTTTAAAATACTTTTAGATTTTAAAACTGCTGTATTAATTATGCAGTATTATAAGTTTGAGAGAAAAGTCTAATACTCTTAATATTGATTTTAAAAATTTTGAAATATTTTAACTCTTTCTCACACAATTTACACTTTCAATTTGAGGGCAGGTGTTAATGAACTGATGAAAAAAAAATGATAACAAAGAACCAAAAATGATAAATAACTTAATGTTAATTTAAATAGTATTTATCATTTTTCATTTTAACAATTTTGATTGCATAACAAAACAATTTTTGATTTCTGAAATGTTTTTCCAGTTTATTAATATTTTATAAAATTTGGAAAATTTATTAAGATACAAATTTAATAAATTTGTACTTTTGTACATGGATTAAACAGAATTTGTTAATATTAATTAATGGCTTCATGACTGAAAAAAAGAAAAGAGTTTTACAGTTATGGGTTAATAACAGGATAAATTACTTTTATTTAATAAAACATTTTGGTTTTTTATAGAGAAGACATGCCATAATTCTATCTTTTTTATTTTACTTTTAATTTTACTAATTTGTTGATTATAAAAAGTATATAACTGTTAATTAATTAGAAAAATAACCAGTTAAAAAGTTGAAGAAGCAATAGTATATGTGCATGTTTTATTTTGATGATATGAAACCGTGCTTTACAATTTGTTTATGCTTCTAACACAATAAAGTGTCTTAATTTATAGCACTTTATTGTGTTAGAAGCATAAATGTTTTATTTTGTTAATGTGCCATACCATAAGTGTCATGAGGGTCAGGGAAAGTCATGAAATTTAAAACAAAAATTTGAGTAGGAACCCCTGTAAATACCCTTCAAAGTTCTACATCCAAAGCAATAGCAGTCTGTTTTTCTTTGAATGCTATCCCTATTTCAGTTTCTTATTAATTTTTTCATTCTTAATATTATGTAAATTATTATAATTGAATGAAATAAATATTTTATCATAATTTTCTTGTCTAATTTTATACATCTATGAGATAATCAAGGTTAGGACATTTAAGACAACTTATGATTTTAGTGACTAGATGTTCTAGCCTTAATCATAAGATATTAGTAGATTGCAGAACAATAACTTGAGCATTAGTACAACAACAGAGGAGTGTCATACATTAGGAAATGTCTATAAGCTTTAAAGCATTTGATCACCCATCAACTGCTGATCCTTATCATATATGTTGTCAGATCTGCAGTGATACTAATAATAGATACTGGATAATAATTTCAGACAAGTTATTGATGGTGAACCTTTTCATAAATTTCATTTTGTTATCTAGGGAGTAAATCTTTACTATTAATAATACTGAAGATTCAGTATTGTGTAGTAATTGAAGCTTATGTTGCATATTTGAATATCAAACTGCATGTAACTGCCTAAGAAACTATTGTCCAATAAATTTATGCATAATATGACTTTGAATATGTAAATTAAGATACCTTTTGCCATTGAATACTGAATATTCAATAATATTGAAAGTAAGACTTGGAACCTTTTCATAAAAATTGCAAAATCAACAGACATCAAGTCTGTTGATTTTGCAATTTTTATGAGAAGAATATAACAAGATTAATGTTTTTATAAGTCAAAACAAATTAAATAATTTTTTAAGTAATGACTTAAGACAAATTTAAATTTTTTGATAATGATTGCTTTCTCACATCATCAGCATATTACATCTATATGTATTGGTAACATATTCATTCGTTAGGATGTATCTGATCTGAACTAAATCAACCAACACACACAAAGGATGAGGATTGACTCCCTCATTCATGTCACTGGAATCTTGTGTAGACCTGATAAATTATGGAAATCTAGTCACATTCAAATCAAGATGGACTTACTGCAAGATGATTGTTGTTGTCTTTTTATATTTATTTATTTATTGTTAAGGCCATGATGGTAAGACATTATGGAAGTTTTCGATATGATGCACTATATCATCTGGTATATTATCATTGATGTTTATGAGTAGTGTTGCAGATATGAGAAAAATGAAAGTTTTATATGTTCATTAAACAACTGTTTCTAACATTAAAATTTTACTAAAATGCCGAATTGACCACTTTTCTATTGGGAGACTCACAAAATCATGTTTTTTTTTTATTGAATGTTTTATTATGTAAATTTAAAGAAATTACTATTTAATCCAAAGGCAGACAAGAAAGAACAAAAAGTATATATAATGGTGTCAATCTCTTCATAAAATATTCCATTAATAGACTCAAAGACATACAAATTAAATTCAACAAAAATATTTATGGTAAAATATAACCATTCAAAAACTGGGTAAACTTGATATAAAGTTTACAAAAAACCAAATAACCAGCAAAAAAAAATTGGGAAGTGCTATTTGGTTTTTTGTAGCTTTGTATCAATATTTCTGGTTTTTAAAAATAAAGTTTATACCTTAAATACTCATAATTTGTAATAATGCAAGTTATGAATATATGAACACAATTGTAAAATTGAAAAGATTAATAGTACTGATATATCATCTGTAATTTAGACAAGCAGAAAATATTTTAATTTATGAAACTCTTAACTGATGTGTTTGAATTAGAATTATTATCACAAGAATTGAAATATTTACTAAATTTATATGAATTACATAGTGTAATGTAATTTTATTTATGGGTTTGCACAGTACACATGAAAATTCAAACATTTAAAATTGTTCCATAACAAACTTTGTTTTATAAAAATCAAATTCATTCAGTTTTTAATCTTGAGGAAGGTCATTCAAATGGCTGAAAACCTTCAAAAAGTTAATAAAAAGCTGCATTTTAAAGGTGCTTTTTTGTCAAGGTTTGATTAGTAATGTGGGGCTACTTTGCACCACTTTGCAAATCACTTACTAATCTATGGCAATAAAATATTAACTGTTTGAATATATTTCTTATTTTATCCCTCTGTGGGATAAAATAAGAAATATATTCAAACAGTTATGAAATACTGTAGCATATTTCATAATTGAATTGGACATTTCACAATTCTTTGCAAAGGTATGACTCTTGATTGATCTTTAGACTGAAAAAGGCCAAAATATTGGCATTTCAACTATTGTCTATTCTAAAGCCTCAAAGTTATAACATAAATGTGTATTTATTTAATTTCTAACTATGATGACATCATATAAATAAACGACTTCTTACTATATGCCCAAAACCTACAGTTCAAGTAAATGCAAATGCATATAAACATTTGTGTGATGTTGGGGTTACTTTGCAGTATCCTGTATTCTGGATCGCCTGCTTAAAACGTCGTTTGGAGCCTTAAGTTTCCAATAAAAAAGTTAGCAAGAAGTCGCTTGTTTTCCGGCAACATTTGGTTGCGCCATATGTTATGATATTTTATTTAAAACATTTTACATTTTTCCTATTATAAAATTGCAAAAAGCTTAATTTTGAAAGTAGAGATGGGTTTTATAAAAACTTGTAAATGATGATGACGATTTTACACGTTACAAGTACGACCTGACTCGAGATACGACCCACGACTTCCTTTAAAAAAAAAAAGTCCCCACATCTTTAACCACCAAAATTTAATAGCATCAGTTCCCCTAATTATAGCGGTTCCAAACCTTTTTTCATTAGCGTACCCCGTGACATGTCATTTTTCTAGAATCGGCGATTCCCAACCTGGGGTACGCTAATCACGCGTAGTGATATCACCACTACCATTGACCCACTGAGCAACATTTATTGATCTGTTGCATTGTAAAATCGGCAGCATAAGTTTTTATTTCTATTTTTGCATTTTGAAATGTATAATAAAGTTTGTGATTGTTGCAAGGAACATTTTTTATCTAATAACTTTTTAATACTATTAATTTGTGAAACATAATACACTATATTACTTTTTCTGTCATAATAACTAACTTTTCTGTACGTCTAAATAACCTATCGCGTACCCCGGGTTGGGAATCGCTGCCCTAATACACAAACCTCTCCGCAAAATTTCAGAAATTTTCCACAAAAAGCACAGGAGTTAAGCCTCAAAGAGAGAGAGAATAAAATCGTGCCCCCCCCCCCACACTAACATCCAGAAAGTATCCCGAGTTTTTGTATTTCTCAACAGTTCAAGGTTTCCTGAGTCCAAAAATGTGAAAATCTTGGGAGATCATTTGTTGTCCGATCACCATACTTTCCCTCTGTTATATATAACAGCCAGGAAAGTAAAATTAGTCTGCCAGTAATGTGCGAATAAAATGAGTTTATCCGGGTGTTTAATTAAATAATAATTGTTATAATGGATGAAAGATGGGTTTTCTCAGATCTGGACCCTTTTGAAAACTGTCACCGCACGCTGCTGGTATTGAGTGATTGATTTTAGATACTGACAGGCAACACGATCTGCCAATTGAGGGAATGTTCCTTCTGGGAGGTC